TTTTTTTCTTAAAAAAAAAATTTATATATATATATCCAATCACAGTTGCTGGGAGTTCAAGTGATCTGCTGTCGGGAAAACAGTTTCCTTCTCTTCCTCCACCACCTCTGGCCCTTAAAATCTTTCTGTTCCTCTTCCACTGTGATCCCTGAGCCGTGGGAGGAGAGTATATGGTACATGTGTAGCATTTAGTATTTTCATCACATGAAAGGAATAGGATCTCTCCTCTCTCTCTCTCTCCCTCCCTCCCTCCCTCCCTCCCTCCCCCTCTCCTTCCAAAAACAGGGTCTCCCTGTAGCCCCAACTGACCTGGAACTTGCTGTGTGGACCAGGCTGGCCTTGAACTCACAGAGATTCACCTGCCTCTGCCTCTGCCTTCTGAGTGCTGAGATTAAGGGTGTGCACCCAGCTTGTTGTTTTCTTGACAGTCTTGCTAGGTAGCTCTGGCTTGCTGAAAATTTGATTATTTAGACCAGGCTGACCTTAAATGCCCAGTGATCCTCCTGCTTTTGCCTCCCAAGTACTGGGTTTACAGACACATGCCCCTGTGCTTAGCTGATGAAGTTGTAATAAAATTGCCATTCTCTTAGAATGAGATTCATTCTTTAATTTTTTTCATGTGCCATTATTTGGATGCTGGAAATACACACTTGAAGAAGGTAGTTACTATCCTGGAGGAGCACAGGATCTATTGAAAGATAGTTACCCAAGTAACTGGTCTCTCTGGGTCAGGGTATGATTTAGGGAGAAGGGCACAAGGAAACTGGGGTGCCGTTAGTAATTACGCCAGCCCAGTAGGTGTAAACAGAGACCTTTGGCCACCCTAGTTTGGCTACTTTAGGTTTAGAGAAGACATATATTTCAACCGGGTCTTGAAGGCAAATCAGGACTGTGGTGGGGGCGGCAAGGTGATAAAGTGCAGGCTTGGGTGGAAACTGAAATGGGCTGGATGGGAAGGGGACTCACCTTGGAGCTGACACTGCAAAGGCAGGCTGGGATCCCGTGAGGCAGTGTCTGCAATGTCGCGCTAAGGAGCCTGGGTTCCAGCTTCTCAATAGTGGGAATCCAGAAGGTTTTGAACAGGTAGGTATTAGCGACAGCAGGGATGGAGGCCCAGATCCACACTCACCCACAGCAGCCTGAGGACTTCCCTTGATCTTTTAGGGGATGTAACTCAGGCAAAACTCAAGGCTCTTGACTGACACACAAAACAGTTTCAGAACGAGCCAGTATGAATCAGAGGTGTGGTTTATTAAAAATTGAAAGTTCTCAGGGAGAAAATAAAGCCCTCCTGAGTGAGTGCATGGGTTTGGAGTTCTCAAAAATGAGAGTTGCAGCAACTTATTAAAAGATATCTTTAATGTAGATTTTAAGTGTGGGGACTGAAAGAAAGAGCTGGAAGAGTTACCTCTCAAAAGGTTGCTAAGGAACCCCACCTCCTTTTTCTCTGTAAGTGGGATTTTAGGGTGGTCTTGGAATTATCTGATAAGGTAAACCCAGGAGCCACTAGCATTACACAGG